ATATGTATACACACACACACACACACACACACACACACACACATACTTGTATATGTTTCCCTCCCTCCCTCTCTTCCTTTTTTTCTTTCATTGCCAAAAGAGACCAAAGAGATATGTGGGACATGGCATCTCTGAGGTCTGGCCTGAACAACCTGAAAGCCATAGGTGTGGATATGACACTTGCTGACTGGCCACACTCCTGCACTGGACTCAGGTGTTCTGGCATCATGGTGGTACATTTCTTCTCTCTGACCTGACCAGCCTCTAAACTCCATGCAGACAATTTCTGCCCCAAAGAGAGCAATCAGAGAAGAATTTGTTTCCCCCACATTATCCTAAATATGGCTATGATGTCCAGGAAATGACACTAATACCTACAACTCTGGGCCTCAGCTACTCCCCTCCCCAACCTTTCCTCCTCCAAATTACTGGGAAACTTCCTTAACATGGATGGAAAAAACTGGGCCTGGGAGAAAGGAACTGGGAATGGGGAGACTGTGCTAAGCAGGTGTAGACATAAGGAGGGGTTCTGTAAACACTTCATCTCTGAGAGGGTGACTTTGTGGATGGGAGGAGAAGGAGCTGAAGGGTGGTAATTAGCTTATTATTGTTTCCCTTGGGTGTTGTGAGAATTCCTTAGGAGACACTTGTAAAAAAGCAGAGGGAAGACAGTAAATACACATTTAATGATATGCTAAATAAATTATTATTGTTATTATTATGACTATTGTTACAGCAATTACAACTTGCTCCTTGCGTCCAAGTTTCCACTAGAGATGGGAATTGGTCGCCTTACGGCCAGGCCTCCATTGCTGCCAATATGCCCCAGACTCTCTCTACCTTGAGGAATTAGTGGGACAATTGTGCAGTATAGACCAGGCTTCAGTCAACAGCCACTCTCCTCGTTTCTGCAGGCTGGCAGATCTGGAGCTTGGCAGAAGCACACAAGGCCCCTGCCTGGTGCCTGCCTGGTAAAGGAAAGGGCTTTGCCAAGAATGGCAGGCCTTTTATCTTGAGAACTTCTTGACTCCCAAGAAAGGGGCCTCAGGGAGGGCAAAAGCAAAGGTGGCAACTAGGGATGGTCACAGGAATAAAGAGAAAATATCCAAATTAAGGCTACTTAACCCAGAGATCACAGGCTTCCTGGGCTCCGTATAATCCAAGCAACTGTCAACACTGTGTATGTGTGTGTTTTCCTGAGGAGAGGGCGAATTGTTCTTATCAGCCTCTTAAAGTTGTCTGGGACCCAGAAACAGCTATGAGACATCCCAGCCCAAGTAAAGGAACCCAGAACTCTCTAGGCCCAACAGTGTTTGGGCACTGTCTCTTTTTTCTCTGCCTTTTGGCCAAGAACAATCATACCTGAACCCTGCAGGTTCTGAGGTTTACAACAACTGCTCCCCTCCCACTCCTAGTCCTGGTGGAGCCCAGACACCTGTCCTGAGTCCTGCTTAGGCACACATATGGAAATGCCTGCCCTTCAGCTCTCTTGCCCCACATTTTTTTAAGAACGCACCACCACACCACCATCTCAGTGGGATTTAGGTTCTGGGGGGAGGGGAGGAGAGGGCTAGTGTCAAAGGCGGGGGACTAGAAATGAGATTCCAGATTTAACTTGGCCCCCTCTCTGGACCTCTGTCCCTCACCCAAACACAGGGTGGATTGCCTTAGGAGGGAAAGGAACCAAATTTGGGTGAGTCCTTCCACTCCAAGCCTCAATGGGAGAGGGGAAGGCTGACCCTTCCCTGAAGACTCCAGTCCTCACTAGATGGGGAAACTCTGAACCTGCCCATCTCACTCCATTCACTGGCAGTGACCCACCTGTCCCTAAACTCCTGGAAGGAACTATTCTACAGGGACCAATTGGAGGGAATGATGACAATTTAAAAAATAGCCACATTAAACAACCTGATTAGAAAGTTTTACTGGATCAGAAAATTTGTGAGCTTTAAAAAAAATATTTTAAACCTTAATTCTGATCCTTTCGGTAGTATCCCCAGAACAGAATTGAGGCATAGAAGAGGCCTTTATTCCCACCATGCTGGCTCTCTCCCACTGATTTTTGTTTTATTTGTATATTTCTTAATGGACCAAGTGGTGGTTCCTCTTTGGGGCCTCTTAGGCCAACAGGCAGTTCCTTCTCTTCCCAGGTCTTGGCACTGGTTCAGTTTCCATATATTTGGGGGTCTAGGGAGCCAGAAGGCTGTGGGAAGGGAGCAGAGGCACACTGAGGAGGCAGAACCTGTCTTGCCCCCTTGACCATTTCCTGGCTTCTGGGTGCCTCACTCCACCCCTACCCCCCATCTCAGGCTCAGGATGCTCTTCTGCTGACACTAACCACTGGCCTTGCCAAAGCCACTGCGCCAGCTGCCAGGTGAGCCCTCAGCCTAGCTCCAGCCAGGGCACCCCGGTGTCTGCTAGCCAGCAGTGGCCGTGGAAGGTGAGACTGCCTCCACCCAAAGCTTCTGGACTGATTGCCATTCAGTTTACCTCAGCACCTTACATATTGGGCAGTCCATCTGCACCAGGCAGCAAATAGAGTCCCTGCCCTGGAGGCGCTCCAATCCCATGGGTAAGACTGTGTGGCACTTGGCATTTTACCTGAACCAAGGAGTCTCCACTCTCTTCCCAGCATCCTAGAGATCTTGGAAGCCTGACTGGTTGCTGAGACTGATGTAGGCAAACTCCTTCACACAAACCATTTAGCAAAGATGACTCCCTTGTTAAAATAAAAAAAGAAAGAACTGGAGTTGGTGACGTCTTCCCCTAGCATGGGTGGTGGCAGGGGAATTGTGGAGCTTGGGCCCAGTGGCCCTGGAATGGGGCTGGCAGGAAAGCCATGTAGATGCAGTGGGAGAAGTGAGATCTAGATATGCCAATCCATGCTCCCCACTTGTTAAAGTCAAATTCCCCTCTGAAAGGCCCAGGGCATGGCTGTTAGGGAGCTAGCAGGGTCCCTCTGTACACAGAGGGGAGGGATCCCCAAGTTAGGGAGCAACAGAAAAGCAGTGTCCCGGTGGAGCAGAAGTAAGCTCCTGAGGCCCACACCTCCGAGAAGCAGGGAGAGGAAGGTTTTCTGAAACTCTCATCAAAATAGGCCCTATACTCAAAAATTCACCCCTCAATCCACCATTCCCAGTCCCAACTGTACAGCTCCCCAGGGGCACAGCAGGCTTCATTTGGCCACATCACCTCACTTTCCTGTCTGTATTACCCAAGAACAGCAGCCGCAAAAGTGCGCCCTGCTCCCTGCCCTGTCCCTCTGCAATCTCTTCACTCCTGAAGCCCACTCTTTGAGATTCCAAAATTAGGGTTCAAGAGAATTGCGCTAGGAATGCAGAAGGGGCTTGGTGGCTGCTGACCCTTAGTGCACCAAAAGCCAAACTGAAGGCCTGCTCCCTGGGTGGACAGTATCTCTAGGTTGTAGGACTGTTCACTTCCTCCCCTCCCACCATCTGTACCAGCCCCTTACAAAAACAATTCTGCACTTCAGGGTGCTGGATGTGTACCCCTTCCCTCCCTCTCCAGCTGTCCCTGCAAGCCCCAGTCACCCTCTGTTTGCCTCCCTTCCTTGAGGCTCCCTATGCGCCATTTACCCTTTTGTATCTCCATCCCTGCATGAGTAAAGTTGGTTTCCCAGATGGCCAGATATAGGCTCTCTGCAAATATTTCGGTGAACAAGTCTCTCAGCCCCTATGTATAAATATGTCTGTGTACAGAGACAGAGTGGCCTAAGCCCCAATACAAACACATCAGAAGATAATTACACCCTTATATACATACAGCTATCTCTACAGAGTTATATTCACAAGTGTCTATAACTCTAGAAAGAGATAGCAGCATATACATATAGGACTATAATTACTTATGTGTATTTTTATAACTATAGTTATAAATAGATATGCCTATATATAGTGATAATAATATAGAAATATCTCCATAGCCATATATGGCTGTAAGTGAATGCTCTAACTACTCTATATCACAATCAATAAGTTTATATCTCCTGATACATAATTCCAACGATATACATTTATCTATATAACTGCTCGGAGATATAAATCTGTCAGGATATCAAATGTCCATAAAGCTGGATGACTATCAGAGAGTCATATATTTTCCCATAAATAAATCTGCTCCTATAACTATTGTATATGCACAGATACAATGGAAATAATTATATTTTCCTCAGGCATAAATCTGTAAATACAACCACAGCACACTTAGGTATGGTTAGAGATAGGGCAATATTTTCTAGACATCAGTCTGTCAATAGAGCCACCAGTGCCTCCAAACAGAGAGAGTTATAGTGGGAGTTATAAATAAACTCTCCAGACGGGAACGCATCAGCAGAACTAGAGGTAAAGGCTCTAAGCCGGCCTTTCTTCCTCCTCCCCTTTGTAAGATATTCCTGAAGTGAGCACGGTCACAAAAGACCAAAAGACCGGGTGCAGAGGTGTCTGGGCACTGATACTTCCCCCAACCATGGATGGCTGAAGGTCGCTGGACTTCGGGAAACCATGCAGGAGTGGGTGGGGGGCAGCCCAGAAGCCCCTCCGCGCGTCTCCTGGTGCCTGGGAGCTCGGGAAACGGAGAGGCCTGGGGGAGAAAATGAAGGAGAATCTGCCTTGAGTCACTTTGCCCCTCTTAGGTTCCAAATCCTCACACCAGGGAATCCTCAACAGGGCCTCCGAGCCGAGAGGCTAGGGGGGCCGCGGAGGCTGGAGAGGACAGGGCCAGGCTGGGGAGGCCGAGACCGACGGAGGACAGCCCAGGCGCCGCATCGCCCAGCGCCCGGGGGCAGCTGCCTCGCCTGGAACCCAAGACCTGGGTCCTCTCGGCTCGCCCTGCACTCGGCTCTCCAATCCATTTTATTTTACTGTGATTGCGTCCGATTGGCTATCGCAGTGTCCTCCACCCTTGTGGTTTTCAAAGGCAAGGACGAGCGGTTTCTGATCCGAATCCCTGTGCGTGCACTGGTCTGAAAGCAGTGACTCAGTGCCGAGTGTAGCGCTCCGTCTCTTTTCCGACCAGATGGGTCACCGGCTGTTGAAAAAGAATCCAAACCTCTGAAAAGGTTTGTGACTTAAATCTTTTAAAAGTTCTCACGCTCATTTGTTATGGTAATTTCTCCCTTTCTTTTCTTTCTCTTTTAGAAGTTGGCTAATTCGTGTTTTTATATTTCCTTTTTGTATGTGTGTGTAAGCAATTGTTTGTAAAGGGAGGGGATTTCGTTAGATCCGAAACTGTGGGACGGCTTCGTCTCCCGCGAGCGTCGTCTCTCTACACCTCTGACTCCCTCTCCCCCAAACAAATAAAATTATCAGAAAATTGTACCTGGCGAGGTGAAGCGGTCGTGGTAGGATCCGGGACCGTATCTTTTCTTCTTTATAGAAATCCGCTTCAAGCACGCGAAGGAATATTCAACCCAACTCAACCCTTCCCTCCCTCTCCTCTCTTTTCTAAAAAGATCCTAGGAGGGGAACTTTCCCGGGCCTGCCGGAAACCCCGGCCTCGCTCTCCCTTCTGCCGGGCGGCCATACACATTTCCCTGCTTGCGTCCCTGCCCCGCGGCGCCTTTTCCCCGCAGCGCGGCCGCCAGTCCACCGGCCTGGATCCCGGCTCATCCATTCCTGCCCCTCGGCCTGATCCCGCGCGCTTGACCCCTTTTTTAAAACAGGCGATACGGGGAGTCCCCAAAGACACTAACCACCCCCATAAGTGGGGGTCCCTCTCCGGTCGCACAAAGCAAAAGTCAGAAAAAAGCAGGAAAGAGCGGCCTCCTGGCTCTCTCCTCCTCCGTCCTGAGGACCACGTCGGGGGAGGGGGTTCCCAAACCCAGCCCCCCAAGGGCAGGCGAAGAAACTAACTTCCTTCCTTTCTTGTCTTCCCTTCAGAAGCTGTGATCAAGTCTCCTTCCCCTGTCCCCTCCTCAAAATATCTCTGTCATTTTATTGTTATCCTGCTAGGGAGAGACTGTTAACTACTGTTTTCATTGTTATTTATTATTTATTGTTATTATGATTGTTGTTAGAGATTTGCTCATAGGGTTCAGGGGACAGCAGCTGGGCCCAGAGGGAGGCCTGCTTGTCCCACGTGCTGCACACACACACACCTAGCACGGTGTGCACACACTCACAGATATATGCCCACAAATGCCTGCTACATTCAGGCCCCTGCACAGCAATTCACAACAGGCAGGCCTCCTCCTACCCCAGCCCACAAACAGCACCCTGCCCACGCACACCAGCATTCAGGGCAGACACCACCCCAGACCACGCCAACCCCACACGCACCCCGAGCCTGTAAGGAAAGGAAAAGACATAGAACCCACTTGCAAAGAGCCCTTCTCTCCCACAACCTGGAGGGGTGAGTCAGGCCTCTGTCTCTTTCCCCCAGCCTCCCGCTCTCTTTTTATTTTTTTTTCTCCTTGTTTACAGCTTCAGAGAGCTCAAGGCCCATAAATCTTGAGGGGCCTACAGAGCGCAGAGCACATTTGTATGCATCGTTAGGACTCGCTAATACCTAAGCCCATTAACGAGCGTGTATGCGCGTGGTTTCCGGTGTGTATTAACTTATAGTTAAATTCTGGAGGAAAGGGCATTGTGAATTAACATATAACAAATCCATCTCAGACTTCTGTCATATCAGATCAGTCAGCCGTGGATTTGGGGGAGCGGGTTGCCTGAGTCGAGGTGTACCCACCCTCCAAACTTTAGGGAGCCAGCGTGAGAGTCTAGGGGAAGACAGGACACTCCTATCCCAGTCCCGGCCGTTCAAATCCCCCAGGCCGGCGGCTGCACACCTGCGGTGGACGGTCAGGGGACCGATCCAGGAGGCCGGGGCTGGCCGAGGGAGGCGGGCGAGGGGAGGCCCAGCCGGCGGCAGCACGGGATTGTACTGGGCCTCTGGCCGGTGGCCTCTGGGCCGTCTGGTTTCCGCTTTCCGAGAAGGATGGCAAGTGGAGTCGCTGAACTTTAATTAGACCGAAGAGAAGACGGTGGGGGGGAGGAAAAAACGATCGGAGGAGGAAGAGGCCGAGAGGCCATGGAAAGGAAGCGATCCGGCAGGGATGCGGGAAGCCTGGAGATCTCCACAAGGGCCTGAGAGCTGGGCCTTGCTTGAAGGTTTTCCTTCTCCTCACTCCAGCTGGCTTGTCCACCCAAGTCGAGGAGCCTGACTGATTCTAGCATTCTTAAAAATAAAATATTTTGAAAAAGAAAATCCTTTCAAATTATATGACATGTTCCAGCCAGGTGTTCCTGGTTCCAATGACTCAGATTCTACTGGAACCCCACGGATCTGTACTATTGGGCCTATATATACAAGAGACGAAGGACGCCAGTTCTGGAGGGAGGACGGGGAGTGGATGGTCCAGCTCTTGGGGTCCTAGAAAATGCCAATGACAAAACAAGCTAAATTATTCTGTCCGGGCAGATCTAGTTGCCTATTTAAATACTGCAAGCAGACGGGTGGGGGAAACGACGACGACGACACACAGGGAAGAAACAGCCCGGACCGAGCGGGAGAGAACCAACCCCCACCCCTTCCCTTCGCGAGAGCAGCCAAGGGGCCTCCCGAGCGCGGCTGCGGCGGGCGCGCGGCGGCCGGGCCGGGCCAGGCCGGGACTGGGGGAGGGGAGCGGGGCGGGCCTCCCCGGGCGCTGTGAACTTTAGCTGGGCCGCCGCCTGTCAGCCCCAGAAAGCGTTAAAGGTGCAGCAGCCCGCGCCAGCCTCCGCAGCCGCCTTTGTACGCATGATTTATGACTTCAATCTTGGTTCACCGAGAGTTCACACGGCTTTCGCTGCTGTTGAAGGTTAAAAGATGGTCTTCGCTTGACAAGTGGGACTATTGAAAATTCCTTCTTCTTCGTTTTTTTTTTTTCTTTTTAAGAAGCAAAGAACGGAGGCTCAGGAGAAAAAAAAATTGGTGGTGGTGGTGGGAAGGGAACAGGGGATGCAGGTGGGGAAAAATGGCAGATCAGGAAAGTTTGCCCCCCTGCATTTAAGATTTTTGTAGCTAGGATTTGGGAGTGTATGTTGGGAAGGTGGGTAGAGAATGGGAGTTGCTAAGGAGAGGATTTATAGATCTTATCTGTGGAGGCCCAAGGAATGGCATTTTAAAAAACACAACTCCTGCTTCCACAGTTAATTATCTGCATAATTTGGATTACACCTAACTGATCCTCTGCTTGAGACCAAAAGTGGGGCCAGGAAAGAGAGAGCGCCAAGTGAAGGGCAGATGTTTGGGGCCATGGCAGTAGGTGCCCATCTGGTGTGTTTGGCTGACCATCCACCTCACCCAATAGGAGCTTTTCAAGTGCACCCTTGTACCATAGATTTGGGAAAGGGTGCTTTAAGGCCCCAGTTCCAACTCTCTTCATCCTATAGATGTAGCCTGACATGCATATTTGATGCAAATAAACACGGCTGATGGGGAAGCTGTAGAACTGGGATCTGAAATCCTTTTAATGCTCATCCCCTTGGCCCATGATCATCTTGCTCCATCTTCCTTCTAGCATTTTGAACAAGGTGGTTCCACAGTAGAGATTGTGGTTAAGGATCTCCCAATGGCCAGCAGATAAGGCCCCAAGGTGTGGTCTACAGCATTGAGTATTTGGAAGAACAAGAATCTCCTCTCTTTTTTTCAGATTCCCTGAGACAGAGGAGCTCCCCTGGAGCTGTGAGGGTCTCAAAGAGGGTCCTTAGAGATATTTTTAAATCACCAGAAGTGGGGATTTGGGAATATGGGTGTTGGGAGTGGGGGAGCAGCAGAGAGCTGGGTCTGGTGTTGGGCATGCCCCCCCAGCCATGTTAAGCCCCATCACCATTTATTGATGCTAGGTGTCTCCTCAGGAGGTCAGAGTCAGCCCCTCAAGCCTCCTGGAACCAGCAGCATCCACACTAGAGGATTCTCCCTGTTTCTTTTCCAGCCTGGAGAGGCCTCCCTCCACAATATGTGGGCAAACCCTATAAGAAGGGAGGAGGGTAAGGGAGAAGAGCTGATGGCCACACCTCCCTGGCAACCCAGTTGCAGCTCCTCCTGCAGTGCATGCCATATGTAAACAGCAGAACAAGTAGTGGGGAACAGAGACCCCAGAAATCCAGAGTCCAGGCTCTGAGGTCACTGTGCAGGGATGGCCCTCTGGCCTCAGGAAGAACAGAGAGGCCGTGGGGCGCTGTGTTTAGAAGCTTTGGGGCATTTGGGAGGAGTGGGGGAGTGCTGTTAGGAGGAATTATTAGCAAAGGAAGCTAATGAATCTCTTCCAGGTTCCGGCTAGGAAGCAGAGGAATAGACTTAAGGGCCTCCAGAAATAATGGCTGCAATGAAGTCCCCTTCCCACCCCCTCTGACTGTGCTCCTCCCTGGGAAATAATTTCAGCGAACTTGTGCGTATCTGCAAGTCTGGAATAATTATGAATTATTAATTCATAATTAAGACTTGATTGTGACCATTGCTTTCCAGTGGGCTCATTTATTTCCTTCTCCTCTGTGAGGCACAGGGCATGTCTGTTAGCCCCGGCCCTCGGAACATGCAAACTGAGGCCGGCTGCTCTGGAAGGCAGCCCTTGAACTCAACCCCTATGTAGAATGGTTGCCTCATTACCAAATTATATTGCACCTCATAGAGTCTTTGCACTCAGTAAACCACCTCCCACTAATTTCAGCTTTCAAAGTACTTTGTAGGCTTGGTTCCTAGAAAGCTGAGTGGGGAAAAGGAGTAAAAACCCACCAAGGGGTGCAGCTTGGCCAAGCTCTGTGCTGAGACAGGCCTGAGAATTAAGGCCTGAGAAAAGGACTCCCAGGACCAATACCCAAGTGATCCTAGATCAGAGATGGGTATTCTGCCTCCCTTGCCATAAGGAGGGGCTGGTATCCCTCAGCCTTCTGGGGATCCCTGAATATGCACACCCGGCTCTTATTCCTGACCTCCCTCCCTTCCTACCCACTCCCCTGTATGAGTCAAAGGCTTCAAAAGATACACCAGATTCTCAGATGGTTGGAGGTGGAGAAAGCAGTATCCACCAGTTGTTTCACATCTGTAACAGACTAGAGCAGGGCAAACTGTGTCCTGTGA